AAGCCTCAGATCTATGTCCTCTCCTCTCTGGGTGGAGCAGGCACCATGATCCCTGTTTCATGCACAAGGACATTGATGCTCAGGGACTACAGGACTCGTCCAAGGATGCATCCGAGCCCACGTCCCACCTAGGTTCCCCAGTCTCTCCCAGACAATCCCTCAGAAAACAGTCCTCGGCCCCAGGAACCAGAGCTGCTGACCAGGCCCAGCTATGTAATTTGTGGAGCCCAGTGCAAATTGAAAATTTGAGGCCCTTTGTTAAAAAATTAAGAGGAGGCTGGGCACGGTGGCTCACATCTGTAATCCCAGCACTTTGGGAGGCCAAGGCAGGCAGATCACTTGAGTCCTGGAGTTCAAGACCAGCCTGGCCAACGTGTCGAAACCCTGTCTCTACTAAAAATACAAAAATTACCAAGGCATGGTGGCTGGTGCTTGTAATCCCAGCTACTTGGGAGGCTGAGGCAGGGAGAATTGCATGAACCCAGGTGGCAGAAGATGCAGTGAGTTGAGATTGTGCCACTGCACTCCAGCCTGGGCGACAGAAGGAGACTCTGTCAAAAAAAAAAAAAAAATTATGAAGAGGCTGGGTGTAGTGGCTTATCCCAGCACTTTGGGAGGCCGAGGCGGACGGATCACCTGAGGTCAGCAGTTGGAGACCAGCCTGGCCAACATGGTGAAATCCAGTCTCTACTAAAAATACAAAAATTAGCCAAGTGTGGTGGTGCATGCCTGTAATACCAGCTACTTGGGAGGCTGAGGCAGGAGAATCGCTTTAACCCTAGACGCGGAGGTTGCAGTGAGCCAACATCATGCCACTGCACTCCAGCCTGGGCGACTGAGTGAGACTCTATCTCAAAAAAAAAAAAAAAAAAAAGAAGAAGGATTTCAAGACAATGTCAAGAGACCATCAAACTAAGGATGGGACCCATGTGACTGCACAGGTCATACGCTCATGAAGCTGGCCAGGATGGCAAGTCCAGGACGCCAAGCCAGCCTCCTTCCTGGGTACCGTCCACCTCTTCCCTTGCTCAAGGTCCATCTAGTGGCCAGTTCCTGGGATTTCTCTGACCCGCCACTCCACGCAGGCTGGACATCCAGGGCGTCCTCAGAGAGGTCCACTAGATATTAAGGGACACTGCCCAGTACTTTCCCATCAAAGACCAAGACCACAGAACACTTCCGGAAACGCTTCCAGAAATGCTCAATCCTGCCAGCACTGGAAGTTTGCCTGCCTATTTTCAGCTGAAGAACATTTGCTCTTGAAGAAAATGTAGTAGGGCCGTCTACCTAAGGTGAAACGTACCAACTGACAGATGAAAATCTGACACTGATCAACATTAAAACAATATATAAGAACAAAAGTCAAGGGCATGTTTGTGGCCTCCTAGAATCCACATCATGCCCATGATTTGTCTCACTCTGCCCTTGGAGAGCGAGGGGGAGGGAACTTCTGCCTTGGCCCACCTGGGTTTGTCTGCCCTGGAGTCAGGCCACGCCTACTCCCCTTCCAGTCTCTGCTGGGGTCCCTACACGCTCTGTGCTCTCTTCCAGCTTGTCTGAATCCTGCCCTCCTGTCTGAGTGCCACGTGGTGGGCAGCTTGCTGGGCTGCCCAGATGCCCCACAGAACTGCAGGGCTGCTGGCCTCAGACAATATGGCCCTCCGCTGTCAGATGCCGCCAGAGATGGCCTCAACCAGAGGAAATGCCTCTCAAAAGCCCACATCTCCCTTTCTTGGGTTCACTCAATGACTGGTGAGCAGTGGCATCCTGATGAGTGACGAGGCAGGTGAAAAGGTCCAGCCCCCTTGCCCCAACTCAGGACAATAATACAAGACCCACTGGGTGCAGTGGCTCACGCCTGTAATCCCAGCACTTTGGGAGGTCAAGGCGGGTGGGTCACCTGGCAGGGTCAGGAGTTTGAGACCAGCCTGGCCAACATGGTGAAACCCCATCTCTACTAAAACTATGAAAATTAGCTGGGTGTGGTGGTGTGTGCCTATAATCCCAGCTACTCGGGAGGCTAAGGCAGGAGAATCACTTGAACCCAGGAGGCAGAGGTTGTAATGAGCCAAAATTGTCCCACCACACTCCAGCCTGGGCGACAGAGTGAGACTCTGTCTCAAATTTAAAAATAATAATAATAATAAAAGACCATCCCTGCTCCAGAGCTCCCCTTGGGGTCAGCAGGGCCTTCCAAGTTCTCGCTCTGCCCCTCCTGCTGCCTTCCCCCAGAGATGCTGACCCCAGGAGCACTCCCTGATGAACCTCCTCCCTGACAGTCTCCCTCTCAGAGTTGGCTTTCTAGGAAAGCTGACCTGCCTCCACGAAGCCGCGTCTCCCCTACTTGGGGCACCTGTGGGCCCCTCCCACCTCTTCAAATGCCCTGTAACAGTCATCCATTCAGCAGATCCTCATTGAAGGCCTACTATGTGCCAGATGCTGTTCTGGGTGCTGACAGTAAAGCAAAACGAAGCAGACACCCCTCCCCTCATGGAGATCAGGCCTGCAGATGAGCAGGCAAAAAGCAACCAAAATTTAATACAATGACATTAAACATCCTACCACAGAATGATACAACAGAGAATCTGACTGTAGCTGGCGGCACCTGCTTTAGATCACACTTTCTCTGGGTCAAGAAAGGTCTCTCTGAGGAGCCACGTCTGAATCAGAGGCCAGTTCCTCGACAAGTTGAGAGATGAACATTAACCAGGCAAGTTCAAAGGCTCTTGGGTGGGAAGGAAATTGAGGTGTTGAATTCAAAGGAACAAAAGGTAAATCGGAGTGAAGCTGATGACGGGAGATGAGGTGAGATGCAGGACCAGAGGGCTGGGGGGGTTGGCTCACGCTTGTAATCCCAGCACTTTGGGAGGCCAAGGAGGGCAGATCACTTGAGGTCAGGAATTCAAGACTAGCCTGGCCAACATGGTAAAACCTCATCTCTACTAAAAATACAAAAAAATTTAGCCAGGCATGGTGGCGCGTGCCTGTAGTCCCAGCTACTTGGGAGGCTGAGGCATGAGAATCACTTGAACCTGGGAGGCAGAAGTTATAGTAGTCCAAGATCATGCCTCTAGGTGACACCAGTGAGACTCTCTCAAAAAAAAAAAGAAGAAGCAGGACCAGAAGATGCAGGGCCTTGAAGAAGAATCTAGAAGAATCTAGCTTTCTATTGTGAGTGAGTTGGGAGCGTCAGATGGTTCTAAGCAGGGCATCATGGAATCTTTTTTTTTTTCTTTTTGAGATGGAGTTTCGTTCTTGTTGCCCAGGCTGGAGTGCAATGACGCGATCTCAGCTCACCGCAACCTCCACCTCCCAGATTCAAGCCATTCTCCTGCCTCAGCCTCCTGAGTAGCTGGGATTACAGGCATGCACCACCACGCCCCGCTAATTTTGTATTTTTAGTAGAGATGGGGTTTCTCCATGTTGGTCAGACTGTTCTGAAACGCTCGACCTCAGGTAATCCACCGACCTCAGCCTCCCAAAGTGCTGGGAATACAGGTGTGAGCCACCGCGCCCAGCCTGGAATCTTTACCTGTTTCAAGCCATCACTGGCCGTCAGACAGAGAATGAATTCATCACAAGAAATACCTGCTGTTTGGCACGTGAGCATTTCTGGAAGTATTTCTGGAAGTGTTCTATGGAATGGCTGTAAGGTTTTGGGTTTTTGGTTTGTCTGTTTTTTGTTTGTTTGTTTGTTTGTTTGTTTGTTTTGGCCATTAGGTTTTTTGGTTTTGGGGGTGTTTTTAGAGATAGGGTCTCATGTTGCCCAGGCTGGACTCAAACTCCTGGGTTCAAATGATTCTCCCACCTCAGCCTCCTGAGTAGCTGGGACACAGGCACGCTCCACTGCACGCGGCTGAACATTAGCTTTAACCTGCATTTGTGCAATATCCTGTCTGCTGTTTAGGGGCTAGAATCCAGCACTTGGACTTGTTTAGATCCCCCAAACTGCCTTGCTCTGAGTAGGTGTTCAATGAACATTTGAACATTCAATGAGTTAATGCTTCCGTTTTAGCTATGGTCTTCCGGGTTTTGTTTTGTTTTGTTTTGTTTACACAGAGTGTTACCCAGGCTTGAGTGCAGTGGCACAACCTCAGCTTACTACAACCTCTTCTTCCCGGGTTCAGGCGATTCTCCTGCCTCAGCCTCCCGAGTAGCTGGGGCTACAGGTGCCCACCACCATGCTGGGCTAAATTTTTTGTATGTTTAGTAGAGACAGGCCCTCACCATGTTGGCCAGGCTGGTCTGGAACTCCTGACCTCAAGTGATATTCCTGCCTCGGCCTCCCAAAGCACTGAGATTACAGACGTGACCCACTGTGCTAGGCCTGATCTTCTGGTCTTGCTTCTCAAAGTGTGGTCCTCAGACCAGCATCTGCACCAGCTGGGAGCTTGTAGGAAATGCAGAATCCGAGCCCCACCCAGGCCTACTAAATCAGAATCTGCCATTTAACAAGATCCCCAAGACATCCTAATGAATGGTAAAGTTTAAGAAGCACTTCTAGAGGGCAGAATAACTCAAGGGCCTCAGAGAAACCCATCACAGACAGCAGGAAGGGGGCAGGGGTTAAAAGAGAGGCAGCCCTTAAGCCCAGCTGGGATGGAAGAAGATTTTGATTGGAGGTAAGAGAAGGTACATTCCAGGCTAAGACAAGGCTGGGAAGGAGGAGGCAAGTGTGAGGGTGGAGGGCCAGTGGTCTGAAGCAGCCAGCCCCAGGCGCCAGCAAAATGAGGAGGTAGAAATTCCCAGAAAGGCAGGAGAGGCCAGCCACAGTGGCTCACGCCTGTAATCCCAGCAATTTGGGAGGCCAAAGCGGGTGGATCACCTGAGGTCAGGAGTTGGAGACCAGCCTGGCCAACATGGAGAAATCCAGTCTCTACTAAAAATACAAAAATTAGCTGGGGGTGGTGGCAGGCGCTTGTAATCCCAGCTACTGGGGAGGCTGAAGGAGAAGAATTGATTGAACCCGGGAGGCGGAGCTTACAGTGAGCCGAGATTGCAACACTGCACGCCAGCCTGGGAGATACAACAAGACTCAGTCTCAAAAAAAAAAGGCAGGAGAAAGCTCTCTTGGAGAGCAGCCCCTCAGATGGCCAAACAAGACTGCGAGTTAGGTGGCGTGAGGCTGAAAGCTGGCTCTGCCTCCCACTAGCTGAGTGACCTTGGGCAAGTTATCATACTTAACTCTCTGAGCCTCTACAAAGTGAGGATAATAATAGATGTGCCAGCTGTTGGGGGCGGGCAGGAAGATTAAATGAGATAACACATATAAAACGCTTGGCACAGGAGAAAGGTGGGGAGCGCTCAGTAAATGGTAACTGTGATGACGATTAAAGTGCGGGCTGGATTGGGAAGACCAGGAGGGGGCACTGAAGGCTTCTGAGACAGGGAGTACTGCAGCCCGTGTTTTAGGGAGATAAATCCAGCAGGAGCACCAGGGACAAGGACAGGGGGTTGGCCAGAGGCTGTGGGTAGATGGGAGGTTGGTGTAATGGGGTTGCGCAAGGTATTGAGAGGTGCTTTGGAGCTCAGAGAAGGGGAAGCAGCTGCCCTGGGGCAGAGGGAGGCTGGGACAGGATGGCTCTGGGCTTCTAGGCTAGGAGATGAGCCGAGGGCAGGCAAGCTCCGGGAGAGACGTGCGGTGGGAAGTGTCTGGCTGGGGTACGGTGTGGAGGAGGGCTGCAGGGAACAGCAGAGAGGGGAGGTCTGAGGCATGGGAGGAGGATCAGGACCAGAGTCAGAGAAAACCTTCAGCAACAGGGGTTTGTGGATGCCTCAGGATAGGTGAGGCTGCTCCCAAGAAGGAGGTCCTGAGGGAGCAGTAGGTAAGCTCAGATGCACACAGGGGACTCAGTTGGGGAGTCTCCCTTAAAAGTGGCCACTCTGAGTCACTGAGTATGAGAGGTGACTCACCTCTGGCAGAGAGGAGGCAGGTCAAGTAACAAAGCTGGTGCTTCCTGGGATGCCATCTATGGGCCAGTCCCTGGTTTGCAAATCCCTTCCGTGCATGAACTTATCTAAAGCCCTATGAGGTGGAGCTAGTACTGGCACTATCCCATACTGCAGATGGAGAAACCGAGGCCCAGTGCGGTGGGGGTTATTGCAGACTCTTCGGCCAGGACACAGGCATTTGGCTAAACCTAGTGTTTGTGGCAGGGTCTGTTCTGATTGGCTGATGCCTGTCCTACTGGTTAGTCAATGTTTTGAAGGTCACCCTGGTTACACAGCTGGATGGAGGAGGCGGAATCCCAACCAACCCCTGGGGCTGAAGCCCTGCTCTGAACCACGATCCTCTCTCCGTCTAGCGCCGCAGCGCACCTCAGGACAAGTAATGTGCGTCGAAGGGCTTTGGAAACTGTAAGGCACAGTATAAATAACAGTTTCCTTCATTCCACCTGGGCGGGAGAAGCCTGTTGAGGCCAAAGAAGTTGGGCCATGAGAAGGCAGAGGAAACGCTGCTGTGGGGAACCAGCATTCTCTCTGCTTACTCAACGGGGAAAGTCAGTCAGAAGGGAAGCCTCCCTGAGTGGAGCCCCATGGTCAGCCTCTGGGAGGTTCTCACGTGCCAGACGCCATCGGGCACTAACCAGGTTAGCCTAGACTTGTCCCCAGGGACCGTCCAGGCTCTCCTGCAACTGGCCACCAGGGGGCGCCGCTCCCCCAGCCTTCCTCTTACTGACCCTACCCGGCCGCCCTCAACCTGCTCGCGAGAAACCAGGCCTTGGAAGGAGTCCCGGGGAGCAGGCACCAGAGACTTTGAAAAGTGGCAAAGACGCGGGAGATGCTGAGTGGAGGTGGGAGTTCGTCCCTGCCCCACTGGGAGGGAGAGGGGAAGTGGGGACGGAAGCCTACATATACCCGTTTTCAATTCCCGAACCAGCCATGCGGAGGAGCGCCTGTTCCCATTTTACAGATGAGGAATTCGAGGCCCAAAGATGTTGGGTAAGATCAAGAGGCTAGGGACACGCAACGCTGGGTCATTTGCTTCTAACATCAGTTCCCAATGGCACCACAAGCAAATGCTAGCTCATTTGGCCCTGTCGCCTGGCGGGTCCCCCCTCCCGCGCCCCCGTTGATCCTATGTTCTGAGTCGTGGCCAACACTACAACCTAGTCCCCCCACTGTGTTCCAGCAACAATTCCAGCAGCCCCTTCTCCAACCTGAACTTTCTGGAAGCCTGGACACCTGCTTCATTGTTCTCCAGGGACCCCCATCAGCCACCCACCCCACACCCTCCCCATCTGGGCAGAGCCGGGAGCCCCCTCTGCAGCCCTGGCCTGCTTAACATCCCTCCCCCACCCCAGGGACCCCGCGGGGTCAGGCTTTGCTCCTCGCAACCCCATGGTAGGCAGCAGCACGAATAAACAATGGGACATTTGAACCAGGAAGAGCCTGTGGTTGAGGCCAAAACAGCCACCAAGGTTTTCTCTAAGCTCCTACCAACTCCTTTTATGGCTTCTGGGCCCAGTTCCTTCTTCATAAAAAGTCAGAACTGGAAAAGACTTCGAGTCACTGGGTCCAGCCTGAGCCAACACTTTAATTTTCTACAGAAAAAACCCGTCGTGCCGCCTCCCCCGCTCCAGCCAGGTTTACAGCACCAGGATCGGGCCGGCAGCGTCCTGCACCGGAGGGAAATTCTAGCCCTGGGGCGGGTCCTGGGCATGTCCGCCCGGGGAGGCCCAGTCCCTGCACCTGTAAAATGGGGGGCGGGCCTAACCGTAGCTTCTTCAAAGGTCCCCCGCCCCCAGCTTGAGGTCCTGTATCTAGCCCCGGGGACCCGCCCTAACGAACATCTATTTCGGCCCCCTTGTCCAACCGTTTCCTTCCCTCTGCCGTGAGGGAAGCTCGCGTGTGTGGGCGCACGTGCGTGCAAGTGATCATGTGTGTGCAGGAGCCCGTGGCAGCCGGAGGCAACTTGGAACACGCGTCCGCGTCCGCGCCTGGGCCTGTGCGCGCCCCCGAGGTGCTGGCCTCCCCCCGCCAGCCAGGTGGCCGTGTGCAGCGCCGCGTGTGCCCCGCGTGTACCAGCCTGGGCCGCCCGCCCCTCGCGGCTGACAGCACGCGGTGCGCGGCATCCGGAACGTGGGAGCTTCTGGTTCCCAGTCCCGGGGACCAGCGCCCCCTCCCCGCCAAGGATTTTTTTCTGCTCCACGAGGCGCGCTCCCGGGTGGGGGCCGAGAGCAGCCCAGCCCGGGCCGGCCTCCTAGGGCGGTGAGTCTGCCGGGAGCGCGCCGCCCCCACCCAGGCGCCCCGATGGGTTTTTCCATGACTGCATCCGGCCTCGGGCCGCCTTTGTTCCCGCCGTCCCCGGCCTGCCCGCGGGGCGGCCCGCCTCTCCCTGCGCGCCGGGGATTTTCCAGGGCTCAATTGGAGCACTGGCGAGCCGCCTCCCCGCCCCCAGCCTCCCGCGCCCCGACTGCCCCGAGTCCTGTTTCGGGGAGCCTAGCCCTCTCTAGACGCGCCGCTCGCTCCCCTGTCCCCGCCTCCAGGACCTGCGTCCTCCCAGCCCCACATTTGTGCGCAAAGTTGACGATCACCAGGCCCGCGCGCTTCGGCATTTCGCGAAGGCGCTGCCCGCGCCCTGAGTCCCTCCCTGGGGCTGCACTTTGGAAAGGACGGAGGTCTCATCTGCTTCGCAGTTGCAAAAGGCCTCACGTTTTCACCAAGGGGCAGGTGGTACAGTTGGGGCCCTGGGAGGCCTGGCCCACCGCGGAGCGGGAACCGGAGCGCGCGCGCGCGCCCGGGAGATCTCCGTGTGATCAGCGCGCGCGGCAGCTCCCTGGCGGAAACACCTCCCACTTCCACTGGAGAGTGGGCTCACCCGCGGGCGGAAAGTGACACAGCTGGGGGACGACTCCGTGCTCCCCAATCCCGTCCCCGCTGTTAGTAAGGAAGTGGAGATAAACCGAAAAGGGGCCTTGGAGAAAGCAGCAGGGCGGGGTGAGGGAGTTGGGAGGCATTATTTGAGAGCGTGAGGTCAGGCTCAGAGCCCCAGGTCCCTCTCAGATCCCCCGTGCCCGTGAGAACTACGCGTACGCCACCGATCCTGCCCGCGCGGGGTTGAGTTCCGTTTGTGTCTCCGCGCTCTGCGACTCTGCGCGCCTGGGGGCCTCCCAGCTATTGCCTGGCTATTCTGGCGGGAAAAGTGTAAGAAACGCTGTTCGCCCTGCAGGAGAAGCCAGACTCGCAGGGGTGCTTCAGGCTGGGGAAGGGTGCCTGCCTCTGTGGGGTTTTTGGAATCCCAGGTGGCGCCCTTCCTACAGCCCGGCAGAAGGCAGCCATGCCTTGAGGTGGGGAAAGATCTGGAGGTGCGGGTGGGAGGAGGACGGAGCAGGAGGGACACCCGGATCCGCAGAGAGTCAGAGGCCCGGCGCTGTCTTGCTGTGCCAGGTGGGAGGGAACGCCCCGTCGGCCCTTTGAGCGCCAGCTCCCTGGCCTAACCAGTCATGAGGGAACCCGCAGGCCGCTCTGGAAGGGCCCTTCCTCCAGGTGTCCTCTTGATCAGCTTTCCCTGCTCTTTAAGGTGTCCCTGTGTCTTGACCCCCTCCCCTCTCCACCCTCTTATTTGCTCTCAGAGGCAGCACACCAGCCCCCATCCCCAACCATCCGAGGATGAGAAAGTCTTGGTCCTGGCCGGGCGCAGTGGCTCATGCCTGTAATCCCAGCACTTTGGGAGTCCGAGACGGGCGGATCACGAGATTAGGAGTTGGAGACCAGTCTGGCCAACATAGTGAAACTCCGTCTCTACCGAAAATACAAAAAATTAGTCGGGTGTGGTGGTGGGCACCTATAATCCCACTACTCGGGAGGCTGAGACAGGAGAATCGCGTGAACCAGGGAGGCAGAGGTTACAATGAGCCGAGATCGCGCCATTGCACTCCACCCCGGTGACAGTGCGAGACTCGTCTCTAAATAAATAAATAAAATAGGGCCGCGCGCGGTGGCTCACGCCTGTGATCCCAGCACTTTGGGAGACCGGGGCGGGCTGATGACGAGGTCAGGAGTTGGAGACCAGCCTGACCAACATGGAGAAACCTTGTCTCTACTAAAAATACAAAATTAACCGGGTATGGTGGCGCATGCCTGTAATTCCAGCTACTCGGCGGGAGAATCGCTTGAACCCTGGAGGCGGAGGTTGCAGTGAGCCAAGATCGCGCCATTGTACTCCAGCCTGGGCAACAAGAGCGAAACTCCCTCTAAAAAAATTAATAATAATAACAATAGGCCGGGCGCGGTGGCTCAAGCCTGTAATCCCAGCACTTCGGGAGGCCGAGACGGGCGGATCACGAGGTCAGGAGATCGAGACCATCCTGGCTAACACGGTGAAACCCCGTCTCTACTAAAAAATACGAAAAACTAGCCGGGCGAGGTGGCGGGTGCCTGTAGTCCTAGCTACTCCGGAGGCTGAGGCAGGAGAATGGCGTGAACCCGGGAGGCGGAGCTTGCAGTGAGCTGAGATCTGGCCACTGCACTCCAGCCTGGGTGACAGAGCGAGACTCCGTCTAAAAAAAAAATAAAAATAATAATAATAATAATAATAGGCCGGGCGCGGCGGCTCCGACCTGTAATCCCAGCACTTTGGGAGGCCGAGGCGGGCGGATCACGAGGTCAGGAGATCGAGACCATCCTGGCTAACACGGTGAAACCCCGTCTCTACTAAAAATACAAAAAATTAGCCGGGGGTGGTGGCGGGCGCCTGTAGTCCCAGCTACTCGGATATTCGGAGGCGAGGCAGGAGAATGGCATGAACCTGGGAGGCGGAGCTTGCAGTGAGCGGAGATCGTGCCACTGCACTCCAGCCTGGGCGACAAAGAGAGACTACGTTTCAAAAAATAATAATATAATAATAATAATAAATTAATTAAAGGAATAAAAAAATAAATCCTTGATCCCACACCTGGGTTCCCTGCTGCTCACAGGATAACTCAGATGCCCTTTGCCCTTGTAGAATTAGTGGGAGATTCCAGAAGCAGAGGCACAGCCCCTGGCTGGGACCCAGCCCTCCCATAAGGGGAACTTTAACTGAGACACCTGCTTCCCTCCTCCATCAGTCCCCAGAACACCATGGCGACAGAGGCCTTCAAGGTGCACAACTCCTCACCTAGTATGCCGACTGATATTGACTATACCGGTCAGACAAGCACGGCCTCCTTAGACTCACCTAAATATCTTGGGGTAAGCAGGATGCCATCCAGTTCCCAAAATGATAGCACTTTGGCATCTCCTTTCTTCTTCCTACGCCTTGCACAGGGGAGTAAGTCATGTTTAAGATCTAGTCAATTCCAGTGGTGCCAATGGTAATGGTGCCAATTCAAGTGGTGTCAGAGGGTTTCTACCTGTCCTCCCTGGCCAGGGCCAGCCTTGGGGCAGCAGGAGAGAAAAAGAGCCTGTTGGCAGGTGCTTGGTCCCAGGTGTGACTCCCATAAGGGGGCAAACATCAAAGGTTCTGTCACTCAGAGATGAGGTGATTGCACCACTAAATCCTATTTGTTGTTCCCTTCAATCTCCACGTCCTTGCTCAGGCTGAGAATATTCTATTTTTGTTTTGGAGACAAGATTGCACTCTGTTGTCCAGGCTGGAGTGCAGTGGTGCAATCACCTCCCTGAAGCCTCAACTTCCTGGGCTCAAGTCGTCCTCCTGCCTCAACCTCCCGAATAGCTGGAACTACAGGTGCATGCCACCACACCCAGCTAATGTTTTGGATTTTTAGCAGAGATGGGTCTCGCTGTGTTGCCCAGGCTGGTCTCAAACTCCTGAGCTCAAATAATCTTCCAGGCTTGGCCTCCCAAAGTGCTAGGATTACAAGTGTAATCTTAAATCCTGGCCTGAAGCATTATTCCTCTTCATCACCTCCCACTTACTCAAACATACACTTTCCAGAACTTTCCTTCTAGTCAGAATGTTTTCTCCTCCCTTTAAAGGCAGAGTTCGGGAGAGCAGAAACAAAAAGGAATGCTTTGATCTTGATACATTCTAAAAATGGATTAAACTTCCAATAGTGATAGCAAACACTTAGTATTTGCTATTTTCCAGGCTGTTCACATATATTAATTCATTTAACCCACATAGCGACTCTGGGAAGTGGGCACCATTATCACTTCCATCTTATAAATGAGAAAACAGGCACAAGAAGTGAAGCGATCTGTCCAAGGTCACACAGGCAGAGGCTCAGCTGGGCGTTGACCGCGGCAACCTGGCCCAGAGCCTGTGCTCCTATACTGTGCTTGTAAAGTTTTGCACAGGCAGACCCAGGAAGTGGTGTTAATATACATAGCTCATCTGTAGAGTACGAGGCAAACAATAGGTGCCGGGGTTTAGGAGACATTTTTCTTGGGCAGAGTCACATTCATAACGGCGATGTCTGCTGCAGTTCCCACTTC